ACTGGTCTGCCGACGAAATCGTCTGATGTGATTACAACAGGCTTCCCGTTATCACGTCGACCACGAAGATTCCATCTGCTAGCCCCGGCCCGCTAGCACACGCTAGCCGTGGCCTCTTGCTCGCTAGTGCTTTAGCAGCCCCCGAACTATCCTATTGCTGTTCACCGGACCTTATGATAACTCAGCTATACAGCTGATGCCTCCTGGACTGTTCCTTTTTACGGTACCGCATCCTGTTTATGTTTAGCCTCAGCCCAAACTGTGTCGTCATTACCAGCTGTTGTCTTAGCTCTCTCAAGTTACACCGTGATTGCTTTATGCCTCTCTCCCATCTCAATATGGTTAGCTTATTGTTGTTTCGGTTATTTCTAATTGTACTATTTCACTGTAAATCCCCCAGCCCAGCTAAACCTGGCTTAGATAGCTCCTTTATCCCACCCCCCATACACGCGGAGACTGACTCAATTGGTGCCTCCAGTGATGCTATCTCTTTCATTGTTACCCAACGCTTAGGTTTACCTCCACTTTACTCATATCCTTCCATATCGTTGTCTGTACATAATGCCCTGAATCTTTTCTACAACGCCCGGAAATCTGCCCCCTTTATTCTATGTACCCAACGCACTAGAAGACCAGTTCTTAAAGCCTTTAGCCGGATCCTTATTCTAGTCCTCCTCTGTTCCTCCGGTGATGTAGAGGCTAACCCAGGCCCTGCAGCCCTCAGTATCACTCCTACTCCCCAGGCGCTATCATTTGCTGACTTCTGTAATCGCAAAAGCCTTGGTTTCCTGCATGTAAATATCAGAAGTCTACTTCCTAAGTTTGAGTTATTCACTGCGTTAGCACACTCCGCCAACCCTGATGTTCTAGCAGTGTCTGAATCCTGGCTTAGGAAGGCCACCAAAAATCTACCAGGTACAACCCTAAATCCGTAACTATGGGTACCCTCATAGATATCATCCTGACTAACTTACCCTCTAAATACACCTCCGCTGTCTTCAACCAGGATCTCAGCGATCACTGCCTTATTGCCTGCGTCCGTAACGGGTCCGCGGTCAAACGACCACCCCTCATCACTGTCAAACGCTCCCTAAAACACTTTAGCGAGCAGGCCTTCCTAATTGACCTGGCCCAGGTATCCTGGATGGATATAGATCTCATTCCGTCAGTAGAGGATGCCTGGTTGTTCTTTAAAAGTAATTTCCTCTCAATCTTAAATAAACATGCCCCATTCAAAAAATACAGAACTAAGAACAGATATATCCCCTGGTTCTCCTCAGACTTGACTGCCCTTGACCAGCACAAAAACATCCTGTGGCGTACTGCATTAGCATCAAATAGCCCCCGCGAGATGCAACTTTTCAGGGAAGTTAGGAACCAATATACACAAGCAGTCAGGAAAGCAAAGGCTAACTTTTTCAAACAGAAATTTGCATCCTGTAGCACTAACTCCAAAAAGTTTTGGGACACTGTAAAGTCCATGGAGAATAAGAGCACTTCCTCCCAACTGCCCACTGCACTGAGGCTAGGAAACACTATCACCAGCGATAAATCTACAATAATCGAGAATTTCAACAAGCATTTTGCTACGGCTGGCCATGCTTTCCACCTGGCTACCACTACCCCGGCCACCAACTCTGCACCCTCCGCTGCAACTTGCCCATGCCCCCCCCGCTTCTCCTTCACACAAATTCAGACAGCTGATGTTCTGAAAGAGCTGCAAAATCTGGACCCCTACAAATCAGCTGGGATAGACAATCTGGACCCTTTCTTTCTAAAACTAGCCGCCGAAATTGTCGCAACCCCTATTACTAGTCTGTTCAACCTCTCTTTCGTAACGTCTGAGATCCCCAGAGATTGGAAAGCTGCCGCGGTCATCCCCCTCTTCAAAGGGGGTGACACTCTAGATCCAAACTGTTACAGACCTATATCCATCCTGCCCTGCCTTTCGAAAGTATTTGAAAGCCAAGTTAACAAACAGATCACCGACCATTTCAAATCCCACCGTACCTTCTCCGCCATGCAATCCGGTTTCCGAGCTGGTCATGGGTGCACTTCAGCCACGCTCAAGGTCCTAAACGATATTATAACCGCGATCGATAATAGACAGTACTGTGCAGCCGTCTTCATCGACCTGGCCAAGGCTTTCGACTCTGTCAACCACCGCATTCTTATTGGCAGACTAAATAGCCTTGGTTTCTCAAATGACTGCCTTGCCTGGTTCACCAACTACTTCTCAGATAGAGTTCAGTGTGTCAAATCGGAGGGCCTGTTGTCTGGACCTATGGCAGTCTCTATGGGGGTGCCACAGGGTTCAATTCTTGGGCCGACTCTTTTCTCCGTGTATATCAATGATGTCGCTCTTGCTGCTGGTGACTCTCAGATCCACCTCTATGCAGACGACACCATTTTGTATACATCTGGCCCTTCATTGGACACTGTGTTAACAAACCTCCAAACGAGCTTCAATGCCATACAACACTCCTTCAGTAGCCCCTAACTGCTCTTAAACACTAGTAAAACTAAATGCATGCTCTTCAATCGAACGCTGCTGGCACCCGCCCACCCGACTAGAATCACCACTCTCGACGGGTCTGACCTAGAGTATGTGGACAACTACAAATACCTAGGTGTCTGGTTAGACTGTAAACTCTCCTTCCAGACTCACATTAAGAATCTCCAATCCGAAGTTAAATCTAGAATCGGCTTCCTATTTCGCAACAAAGCCTCCTTCACTCATGCTGCCAAACATGCCCTCGTAAAACGGACTATCCTACTGATCCTTGACTTCGGCGATGTCATTTACAAAATAGCCTCCAACACTCTACTCAGCAAATTGGATGTAGTCTATCACAGTGCCATCCGTTTTGTCTCCAAAGCCCCATACACTACCCACCACTGTGACCTGTACGCTCTTGTTGGCTGGTCCTCACTACATGTTCGTCGTCAAACCCACTGGCTCCAGGCCATCTATAAATCACTGCTAGGCAAATCCCCGCCTTATCTTAGCTCATTGGTCACCATAGCAGCACCCACCCGTAGTCTGCGCTCCAGCAGGTATATCTCACTGGTCATTCCCAAAGCCAACACCTCCTTTGGCCGCCATTCCTTCCAGTTCTCTGCTGCCAATGACTGGAACGAATTGCAAAAATCTCTGAAGCTGGAGACTCTTATCTCCCTCACTAACTTTAAGCATCAGTTGTCAGAGCACCTTACCGATCACTGCACCTGTACACAGCCCATCTGAAATTAGCCCACCCAACTACCTCATCCCTATATTGTAATTTATTTTGCTCTTTTGCACCCCAGTATCTCTATTTGCACATAATCTCTTGCACATCTAGCATTCCAGTGTTAATACTAATTGTAATTATTTTGCACTATAGCCTATTTATTGCCTTACCTCCATAACTTGCTACATTTGCACACACTGTATATATATTTTCTGTTGTATTTTTTTTGACTTTATGTTTTTTTACCCCATATGTAACTCTGTGTTGTTTTTATCGCACTACTATGCTTTATCTTGGCCAGGTCGCAGTTGTAAATGAGAACTTGTTCTCAACTGGCTTACCTGGTTAAATAAAGGTGAAATAAATAAAAAAGGGGTCTGAATAATTTCAGAATGCACTGTAAATCCGCCCCTACACCCTAACCCTATTTTTTTTTTGTTCTTGTCCACCCTCTAGAATCAGACTTACACTTTTGGGTTCACATTATTTTTTACAAAATGATTTTCATAGTTAAAAATCAGGTCGCCATAGAAAACGTCCCTGCTAAAACATACTGTAGGTTTGTCTGCAGACTTTTTCGTTGGAACAGCCTAAATGCCAATCACCAAACGAGGGGACTAATGCAAGTGTGGATTAAATCGACTTTAGTACATTCTGTCAAAACTCTCCGTTCTGCAATAGAAACGGGAGTAACCGCAACCTAATTTTGTTGACAACATTATACATAAAACAACGCTACCGTGCTGCTCTTTTTACAGTTTTATAAACTCAGCGGAGAACGTTCTCTCTATTCAGCTCCACTCTAATCTTGAGGGGCGTTAATTTAACACGCTCATCCAATCCCATTGATGAGAACCTGTAGTAGCCATTTATCAACTCATCTCTTTGTGACAATGTTAATGGTAGATGGCCAATGCGAAAAAGGAAACGCAACACTTTTTTGGACTGGATAATTTCAAAGCATCAACACCTCACAGGTAGTTCTACATAGTGGCATGGGGTTGGCTTTCATTTGAGTAATAGCTTCACTGTCAAATCGGTGTATTTGTTTGTGGCCCTGATTTGACCTTGCCATTTGAGTTAGACGCACAGGTGCGTATAATAAAATCAACAGGACCAAACAAAATATATTAATCTGTTTAAAGCAATCGATTTAGTATAATCTTGATGACTATAAACTTTTTAATTAACATCACCAATCTGAGGTTGAAAGGATGTGTATTTCCACTCAATTTATGTGGTACAAATGCAAGCTTGTGTAAGGCAGTAACACAAACTGTCCACATTAGGGAAATTAGTGCAATGTAAAATAATATGACAAATAAATTAAACATATCAATTTAGGATGATAGTATATGTTGTCCTCTCACAAGCTATTGCAACAATTATACCTATTTGTCACTCATTTAAAAAATGTAGAGTGTTTTTAAAAATGCTCTCAAACACAATTGAACTGGGTGCTCTAGACTAGAGCTTCCGTAGTCTGTGCAGCAGCTTGAACGTTCGACATCACTACTAGTATTGGACAAATTCAGGTAGGTCCCTCCCCGTTTCATTCTGTTTACTTCCGTTTGGTTCTTAAACGGTTTCCATTGCAAGACGTAATGGAACCAAACAGAACCAAATGGGGAGGGACCTACCTGAATTTGTCCAATAGAAACTCATTTTCATTGCAAAACTCAACAGTTTGCAACAGTTTGGACTAATGATTACATCCATGATGTGAATGGAGATGGAATGCAAATCAACCATAACACAACCATAACTTGGATGGGTACTACACATACATTTGTTTACAGTTCTATTTAGCTTACATAATTCAGGAGTTGTGACAGAAGCATATGCCTTGTTTGTGTATCCTCACTGTACCTTAAAGGGCAAATGTCCTGACGAGGGCTGGAGCGAGAGCACAATAGAACTCTTCCTGAATGAATTGGCTGTGATGGACAGCAACAACTTCTTGGGAAACTGTGGCGTTGGCGAGAGGGAGGGCAGAGTGGCCTCTAGTCTGGTGGCCCGACGACATTACAGGTTCTTATCAGCTGTTGCTTGTAACGTTTTCAAAATAGAGGAATTTACTTTAGCTTTGTTAAATTCTAAGTAGGCTTTAGTTTTGTCATACATGTCATGATCATGAGATCTGTGTTTATTGCTTTACACAGGTTAATCCATGGGATAGGACGATCTGGTGACATTGCTGCAATTCAACCCAAGGCTACAGGTTCCAGTCTGCTGAACAAGCTGACTAATTCAGTTGTGCTGGACATTTTAAAACTTTCAGGTGTGTAACTAAGTTTGCATTGAGCCTACTGATAAATTGATGGGGGTAAAAATCTACATATCGCAATATTATTTTGGACAATATTATATAGATACTTTCACTCCAAGTATTTATTTATTTGTTGTTTGTATTTTTTTAATAGTATGATTATTGTAGAATATTTTGCTAGGTAGCATTAGCTAGAGGTAGTTGGCTGTACCTGCTCCAAAATGCTGGTATTTTTCATCCTATTTCATGTTCTCGTCTTCTTTTTAAATATTGAGCCAACATGTTTTCAGCACAATTTATTTTCCATGACTGATCAAAACTCTGTTTATTATGCTGTCTCGCTGCAGCAGACATATACAGAGCAATATGTTTGGAACATCAAATCGCAATAAAATTGCAGTATCGAATCGAAATGCATATAGAATCGTGAGAATTGCAATACATATTTTATCAGCACCTACAGTGCATTCGGAAAGTATTCAGACCCCTTGACTTTTTCCACATGTTGTTACGTTACAGCCTTATTCTAAAATTAATTAAATAGTTTTTTCCCCTCATGAATCTACACACAATACCCCATAATGACAAAGCGAAAATGGGTTTTTAGAATTTCTTAAATAAAATAACAAAGAAAAGCTGATGACATTTACATAAGTATTCAGACCCTTTACTCAGTACTTTGTGGAAGCAACTTTGGTAGCGATCACAGCCTCAAGTCTTCTTGGGTATGACGCTACAAGCTTGGCACACCTGAATTTGGGGAGTTTCTCCCATTCCTCTCTGTAGATCCTCTCAAGCTCTGTCAGGTTGGATGGGGAGCTTTGCTACACAGCTATTTTCAGGTCTCTCCAGAGATGTTAGATCGGGTTCTAGTCCGGGCTCTGACTGGGCCACTCAAGGACATTCAGAGACTTGTCTTGAAGCCACTCCTGCGTTATCGTGGCTGTGTGCTTAAGGTCGTTGTCCTGTTGGAAGGTGAACCTTCATCCCAGTCTGATGTCCTGAGCGCTGTGGAGCAGGTTTTCATCAAGGATCTCTCTTTACTTTGCTCCGTTCATCTTTCCCTCGAGCCTGACTAGTCTTCCAGTCCCTTCCGCTGAAAAACATCCCCACAGCATGATGCTGCCACCACCATGCTTCACTGTAGGGATGGTGCCAGGTTTCCTCCAGATGTGGCACTTGGCATTCAGGCTAAAGACTTTAATCTTAGTTTCATCATTTACATTTACATTTACATTTACATTTTAGTCATTTAGCAGACGCTCTTATCCAGAGCGACTTACAGGAGCAATTAGGGTTAAGTGCCTTGCTCAAGGGCACATTTTACATCATTTAGCAGACGCTCTTATCCAGAGCGACTTACAAATTGGTGCATTCACCCTATAGCCAGTGGGATAACCACTTTACAATTATTATTATTTTTTATTTATTTTATATTTTTTGGGGGTGGGGGGGGGGGGGGGGGATTTTGTTTCTCATGGTCGGCGAGTCCTTTAGGTGCTTTGGCAAACTCCAAGTGGGCTGTCATGTGCCTTTTCCTGAGGAGTGGCTTCCGTCTGGCCACTCTACCATAAAGGCCTGATTGGTGGAGTGCTGCAGAGATGGTTGGCCTTCTGAAAGGTTCTCCCATCTCCACAGAGAAACTCTACAGCTCTGTCAGAGTGGAAAAATAAATATTTCATACATTTTAGAATAAGGCTGTAACTAAATGTGGAAAAAGTCAAGGGGTCTGAATTACTTTCCGAATACACAGTAAGTATCGTGATAATATCGTATTGTGAGGTACCTGGCAATTCCCAGCCCTACTGATAAATGTTGAACAGTGATGGTTACAGTGAGGGGAAAAAAGTATTTGATCCCCTGCTGATTTTGTACGTTTGCCCACTGACAAAGAAATTATCAGTGTATAATTTTAATGGTAGGTTTATATGAACAGTGAGAGACAGAATAACAACAAAAAAATCCAGAAAAACGCATGTCAAAAATGACATTTGGCAACTCTAACCTTCAGCTCCCTCCACAAATTTTCTATGGGATTAAGGTCTGGAGACTGGCTAGGCCACTCCAGGACCTTAATGTGCCTCTTCTTGAGCCACTCCTTTGTTGCCTTGACCGTGTGTTTTGGGTCATTGTCATGCTGGAATACCCATCCACGACCCATTTTCAATGCCCTGGCTGAGGGAAGGAGGTTCTCACCCAAGATTTGACGGTACATGGCCCCGTCCATCGTCCCTTTTGATGCGGTGAAGTTGTCCTGTCCCCTTAGCAGAAAAACACCCCCAAAGCATAATGTTTCCACCTCCATGTTTGACGGTGGGGATGGTGTTCTTGGGGTCATAGGCAGCATTCTTCCTCCTCCAAACACGGCGAGTTGAGTTGATGCCAAAGAGCTCCATTTGGGTCTCATCTGACCACAACACTTTCACCCAGTTCTCCTCTGAATCATTCAGATGTTCATTGGCAAACTTCAGACGGGCCTGTATATGTGCTTTCTTGAGCAGGGGGACCTTGCGGGCGCTGCAGGATTTCAGTCCTTTGTGGCGTAGTGTGTTACCAATTGTTTTCTTGGTGACTATGGTCCCAGCTGCCTTGAGATCATTGACAAGATCCTCCCGTGTAGTTCCAGGCTGATTCCTCACCGTTCTCATAATTATTGCAACTCCACGAGGTGAGATCTTGCATGGAGCCCCAGGCCGAGGGAGATTGACAGTTCTTTTGTGTTTTTTCCATTTGCGAATAATCGCACCAACTGTTGTCACCTTCTCACCAAGTTGCTTGGCGATGGTCTTGTAGCCCATTCCAGCCTTGTGTAGGTCTACAATCTTGTCCCTGACATCCTTGGAGAGCTCTTTGGTCTTGGCCATGGTGGAGAGTTTGGAATCTGATTGATTGATTGCTTCTGTGGACAGGTGTCTTTTATTCAGGTAACAAACTGAGATTAGGAGCACTCCCTTTAAGAGTGTGCTCCTAATCTCAGCTCGTTACCTGTTTAAGACACCTGGGAGCCAGACATCTTTCTGATTGAGAGGGGGTCAAATATTTATTTCCCTAATTAAAATGCAAATCAATGTATAACATTTTTGACATGCGTTTTTCTGGATTTTTTTTGTTGTTATTCTGTCTCTCACTGTTCAAATAAACCTACCATTAAAATTATAGACTGATCATTTCTTTGTCAGTGGGCAAACGTACAAAATCAGCAGGGGATCAAATACTTTTTCCCCTCACTGTATGTTGATTGAGTACTTGTGTTCTAATTAGTTATATTTGAAGATAGCTATCATTCCAGCTTCAATTTGAAGTGATTGTATTAGCTGTGTAGTTGGCTATCTCGTCTAAACAGTGGCCTGGCAAGAGAGCAAATATTCTATGTCAGGCAAAATCTCACATAATTAGTTCATTGTTATGGAGGTATCCCAAGAAAACCACTAGAAAACCACTTAAAGAAACACAAATGCAGCACCTTTGCTGCTGTTCTGGCTGCTTTGTTTGACGTGACTGTCTTAGCCAAAGTTGGCTAGCTAGCAAGCAAGGGATAAGAACGTTGCCAGCCATCATGGCAACGGAAAATTTAGAACGAATGACTGGGTTGCGACCATAAATTTAGAACAAAAAGATTTAACTGGTTTGTGTCTCTGGTAACCGAAACTGATAGAACGAACGACCAGCTGGCTTGGGTAGCAACCCTAGATTTGTGTCGGGACTATATCTCGTGGAAGGATGAAATAGTATCAATAAATTCATCAAAATAACGTTTTTAATGAAAGTATGTCAATCATTGTTTGAATATGTTGGATACCTGTTGTGTAAAAGTAATAATGCCCTCAAAGCCGGTGTTTGGAGGATATATTGGCACGGTTTGCCGGCCAACAAAACCTGTGTCAATATATCCTCCAAACACAGGCTTTGAGGGCATTATCACTTAATTGTGTGTGTTTGCAGGTGTGCGAAGTGTGGCCAGTTGTTTCGTAGTTCCAATGGCAACAGGGATGAGCCTGACACTGTGCTTCCTAACACTTCGCCACAAGAGACCAAAGGGGCGCTACATCATCTGGCCCCGCATTGACCAGAAGTCCTGCTTCAAAGCCATGATCACTGCAGGTTAGGCACTAACATTAACATAAAAGGATGTTCTGTTCTTAAAACCATCCCTCTACGGTTTATTGTACTCCCCATTCATGCTCTGATTGTTATTCTTGCAATAGATATACCTATCAGTTCAGTTGGGTTTGAAAATGACTTCTCTTTTCTAAGAAGAGCTGCCTAACATGCATGCTATACTGGATGCGTAGGGCCTAACTTTTGCAGAGTGTGACATGTATGAGCAGCATGGCTCCATGAGAGGCTCGCCCTGCTCAGCACAAAATTACTCTCGGTTTCTATTTTCAAGACTTCGGCTCACGCCTGTGAATACTTGATCAAGTATCTTGTGCTCTGCTCATGCCGTCAATTTATGCATCCACTGTGGCAGCTAAAAACCTACTGTTTTCACGCTGCCCCAGTGTAGCTCCACGTAAGGGAACTCTTGTCCAACCCCAACATTGACAACTCTCTTGCTCCTTGTAACCATGGACAGGGTTTGAACCAGTGGTGGTTGAGAACATTTTGGAGGGCGATGAGCTGAGAACAGATATGGAGGCGGTGGAACGTAAGGTGCAAGAGCTGGGAGCAGAGAACATCCTTTGCATCCACTCCACTACTTCCTGCTTTGCCCCACGTGTCCCCGACAGGTATACCTTGTACTCAAGTGATCCAATCATGGTTCAATAGAGCTGTGAAAAGTAGATGTGCATGTCTAATTATCATGTGCTATAATAACTGGTTATTTGTGTAATCTGCATACTGTTTATTATGTCTACTCCATGACGTTACAGACAGAAGCATACTTCTACAGTACTCCAGTGTATGTTAGGTCAAGAGTACGAGGGTATTATTTGATGATGACTTTTCTCTGTTATTGCAGATTGGAGAAGCTAGCCATTTTGTCTGCCAAATATGATATCCCCCATGTTGTCAACAATGCTTATGGAGTGCAGTCATCCAAGTGTATGCACCTTATTCAGCAGGTACCAACTCATAACAACCCCCCCCCCCCCAAAAAAAAAAAAATATATATATATATATACAGTGCATTCGGAAAGTATTCAGACCCTTGATTTTTTTTCAAAATGTGTTAGGTTACAGCCTTATTCTAAATAGTATTTTTCCCTCATCAATCTACACACAATACCCCATAATGACAAAGAAAAATAGGTTTTTATAAATTTTTGCAAATGTATATAAAAAAAAAAAACGGAAATATAACATTTACATAACTATTCAGACCCTTTACTCAGTACTTTGTTGAAGCACCTTTGGCAGCGATTACGGCCTCGAGTCTTCTTGGGTATGACGCTATAAGCTTGGCACACCTGTATTTGGGGAGTTTCTCCCATTCCTCTCTGCAGATCCTCTAAAGCTCTGTCAGGTTGGATGGGGAGCGTCACTGCACAGCTATTTTCAGGTCTCTCCAGAGACATTCAGAGACTTGTCCCGAAGCCACTCCTGCGTTGTCTTGGCTATGTGCTTAGGGTCATTGTCCTGATGGAAGGTGAACCTTCGCCCCAGTCTGAGGTCCTGAGCACTCTGGAGCAGGTTTTCATCAAGGATCTCTCTGTACTTTGCTCCGTTCATCTTTCCCTCGAGCCTGACTAGTCTTCCAGTCCCTTCCGCTGAAAAACATCCCCACAGCATGATGCCACCATAGGATGATGCTTTACCGTAGGGATGGTGCCAGGTTTCCTCCAGACGTGACGCATGGCATTCAGGCCAAAGAGTTCAATCTTGGTTTCATCAGACCAGAAAATCTTGTTTCTCATGGTCAGAGTCCTTTATGTGCCTTTTGGCAAACTCCAAGCCAGCTGTCATGTGCCTTTTACTGAGGAGTGGCTTCCGTCTTGCCACTCTACCATAAAGGCCTGATTGGTGGAGTGCTGCAGAGATGGTTGTCCTTCTGGAAGGTTCTCCCATCCCCACAGAGGAACTCTGGAGCTCTGTCAGAGTAACCATCGGGTTCTTGGTCACATCCCTGACCAAGGCCCTTCTCCTCCGATTGCTCAGTTTGGCCGGTCGGCCAGCTCTAGGAAGAGTCTTGGTGGTTCCAAACTTCTTCCATTTATGAATGATGGTGGCCACTGTGTTTCTGGGGACCTTCAATGCTGCAGAAATGTTTTGGTACCCTTCCCCAGATCTGTGCCTCCACACAATACTGTCTCGGAGCTCTACGGACAATTCCTTCGACCTCATGGCTTGGTTTTTGCTCAGACATGCATTGTCAACTGTGGGACCTTATATAGACAGGTGTGTGCCTTTCCAAATCATGTCCAATCAATTGAATTTACCACAGGTGGACTCCAATCAAGTTGTAGAAACATCTCAAGGATGATCAATGGGAACAGGATGCACCTGAGCTCAATTTCGAGTCTCATGGCAAAGGGTCTGAATGCTTATGTAAATAAGGTATTTCGGTAATTACATTTTAATACTTTTGCTAGAATTTCTAAAAACATGTTTTTGTTTTGTCATTATGGGGTATTGTGTAGATTGATGAGGGGGAAACATTTGTTTTTATTTTAGAATAAGGCTGTAACGTAACAAAATGTGGAAAAAGGGAAGGGGTCTGAATACTTTCCGAATGCAATGTATATTGTTTTTATATATAGCTAATTTTGGTTATTTCTATAATCTCATTAGGGGGCTCGTGTTGGAAGAATCGATGCCTTTGTACAAAGCCTGGACAAAAACTTCATGGTTCCAGTAGGTGGTGCCATAATTGCTGGTTTCAATGAGTCTTTCATTCAGGAGATCAGCAGAATGTATCCAGGTTAGTGCTGTTTAAAATCCCTAACTGTCATATGTGTTCGAACCAGGCCTGCAACCTTTTTGTGTAAAGTTGCTATTATCTGGATGAATTACTAGTTTACTGTTATCATGTGAGGCTCAGGTAGTGTAATTGTTCTGCCAGCCATCAGTGGTTGTATTCCTGTGTGTCTGTATTATATCTGTCTGTCTGTATGTTGGTGACAAATTCAATTTCCCCTCTGGAATATTGAAAGTTCATTCATTTTGATAGCTCAGGGTCTCAATCCAACTCCAATGCTGGAGAGCTACTTGGTGTGCAGGATTGTATTCCAGCCCAGCACTAACTCACCAGTTTCAAATAATCAACATATGTTGCCTAAAAGTTGAGAATAGAATAAACAGACTTCCATTTCCAACTATATCAAGTGAGTGCTTGTCCCCTTTTTTCTTTGTGATCGACTGTTGACTTCATGCGCCCTTTTTCTGTTTTTGCAAGAATATAGAGTTGAGCACATTCCTTCCATTTAGCTGTAATAAAATTCTCCCTGGATTGGAGTTGGTGACCACTGAGCTAGATTTTAAGCATTCAAAGTCATAATAATTAGCTAATTATTAAATTATTATATTAATTGGAACCGTTAACGAACCGAATCGTTGAGAGGAATTTATATTTGTACCGAAATCGATACAATCCTAGGAAGGGTTCAGGTTAGAAAGTGTTTCTGGCCCCTTTAGTATGATGCTGACTGCCCTCTGTCTCCAGGTCGAGCATCAGCCTCCCCCTCCCTAGATGTGCTCATCACCCTGCTCACCCTGGGAGCCAGTGGCTACAGGAAACTCCTGGCAGAGCAGAAGGTGAGACCTCCGTCTCTACTCCACTGAACAGGGTTGGGGTCCAATTCAATATTCATTCAGTTTAGGAAGTAAAGTGAAACTGATTAGCATGTATTTTAACCTCTTGCCTCACATGACCCGGCACTGTCAGAGTTGATTTTTATTTTATTTATTTTTTATTTCACCTTTATTTAACCAGGTAAGCCAGTTGAGAACAAGTTCTCATTTACAACTGCGACCTGGCCAAAATAAAGCAAAGCAGTGCGATAAAAACAACAACACAGAGTTACATATGGGGTAAAACAAAACAAAGTCAAAAATACAACAGAAATAAATATATATACAGTGTGTGCAAATGTAGCAAGTTATGGGGGTAAGGCAATAAATAGGCTATAGTGCAAAATAATTACAATTAGTATTAACACTGGAATGATAGATGTGCAAGAGATGATGTGCAAATAGAGATACTGGGGTACAAATGAGCAAAATAAATAACAATATAGGGATGAGGTAGTTGGGCGGGCTAATTTCAGATGGGCTGTGTACAGGTGCAGTGATCGGTAAGGTGCTCTGACAACTGATGCTTAAAGTTAGTGAGGGAGATAAGTGTCTCCAGCTTCAGAGATTTTTGCAATTTGTTCCAGTCATTGGCAGCAGAGAACTGGAAGGAATGGCGGCCAAAGGAGGTGTTGGCTTTGGGGATGACCAGTGAGATATACCTGCTGGAGCGCATACTACGGGTGGGTGTTGCTATGGTGACCAATGAGCTAAGATAAGGCGGGGATTTGCCTAGCAGTGATTTATAGATGGCCTGGAGCCAGTGGGTTTGGCGACGAATATGTAGTGAGGACCAGCCAACAAGAGCGTACAGGTCACAGTGGTGGGTAGTATATGGGGCTTTGGAGACAAAACGGATGGCACTGTGATAGACTACATCCAATTTGCTGAGTAGAGTGTTGGAGGCTATTTTGTAAATGACATCGCCGAAGTCAAGGATCGGTAGGATAGTCAGTTTTACGAGGGCATGTTTGGCAGCATGAGTGAAGGAGGCTTTGTTGCGAAATAGGAAACCGATTCTAGATTTAACTTTGGATTGGAGATTCTTAATGTGAGTCTGGAAGGAGAGTTTACAGTCTAACCAGACACCTAGGTATTTGTAGTTGTCCACATACTCTAGGTCAGACCCGTCGAGAGTAGTGATTCTAGTCGGGTGGGCGGGTGCAAGCAGCGTTCGGTTGAAGAGCATGCATTTAGTTTTACTAGTGTTTAAGAGCAGTTGGAGGCTACTGAAGGAGTGTTGTATGGCATTGAAGCTCTTTTGGAGGTTTGTTAACAGAGTGTCCAATGAAGGGCCAGATGTATACAAAATGGTGTCGTCTGCGTAGAGGTGGATCTGAGAGTCACCAGCAGCAAGAGCGACGTCATTGATATACACAGAGTAAAGAGTCGGCCCAAGAATTGAACCCTGTGGCACCCCCATAGACACTGCCATAGGTCCAGACAACAGGCCCTCCGATTTGACACATTGAACTCTATCAGAGAAGTAGTTGGTGAACCAGGCGAGGCAGTCATTTGAGAAACCAAGGCTATTTAGTCTGCCAATAAGAATGCGGTGGTTGACAGAGTCGAAAGCCTTGGCCAGGTCAATGAAAACGGCTGCACAGTACTGTCTATTATCGATCGCGGTTATAATATCGTTTAGGACCTTGAGCGTGGCTGAAGTGCACCCATGACCAGCTCGGAAACCGGATTGCATAGCGGAGAAGGTACGGTGGGATTCGAAATGGTCGGTGATCTGTTTGTTAACTTGGCTTTCAAAAACTTTTGAAAGGCAGGGCAGGATGGATATGGGTCTGTAACAGTTTGGATCTAGAGTTTCACCCCCTTTGAAGAGGGGGATGACCGCGGCAGCTTTCCAATCTCTGGGGATCTCAGACGTTACGAAAGAGAGGTTGAACAGGCTAGTAATAGGGGTTGAGACAATTTCGGCGGCTAGTTTTAGAAAGAAAGGGTCCAGATTGTCTAGCCCAGATGATTTGTAGGGGTCCAGATTTTGCAGCTCTTTCAGAACATCAGCTGTCTGGATTTGTGTGAAGGAGAAGCGGGGGGGCCATGGGCAAGTTGCAGCGGAGGGTGCAGAGCTGGTGGCCGGGGTAGTGGTAGCCAGGTGGAAAGCATGGCCAGCCGTAGCAAAATGCTTGTTGAAATTCTCGATTATTGTAGATTTATCGGTGGTGATCGTGTTTCCTAGCCTCAGTGCAGTGGGCAGCTGGGAGGAAGTGCTCTTATTTTCCATGGACTTTACAGTGTCCCAAAACTTTTTGGAGTTAGTGCTACAGGATGCAAATTTCTGTTTGAAAAAGTTAGCCTTTGCTTTCCTATCTGCTTGTGTATATTGGTTCCTAACTTCCCTGAAAAGTTGCATATCGCGGGGGCTATTTGATGCTAATGCAGTACGCCACAGGATGTTTTTGTGCTGGTCAAGGGCAGTGATTGATTTCTATTGGTCCTGATCATGAATATGTGATGTCTGCAATGTTTTTAAAATGCCCATTAATACCATCTGCAGCTTACCCTTGCGAGTCAACAGCTCTGAATAATTTATGTCATAAAAGGACTCTTTCGCATTAAGAGCTGGTATACCTTTAGCTAAGGAAATGAGCACTGTAAAGTAGGGAAAACACAGGACTAATGATTGGTCAAAAACAGACCATCGCTCACAGTCCCCGGGTTTGTGTTCCGCACAATTCCCAGTGGTTGGCTGACTTCGCTGATTCAACAATCTTGGTTAGCATTCGGTGCATTCGGTGTGGACAGTCATCCAGAAAAACATTTGGCCGACCAGTGCCGAATCTGTTAGCCTTTGTTAATTTCTTTAGGGCCATACTTGCGAACGTTAGAAAAATATTAAGTTCAAGGTTAACTTTAAGCATCAGCCAATTAAAATCATCTACATAGTGAACACAGAAACACAGAAAACCTGGCACACGTTAGCCCTATGCTAACATCACCAGGTGGCAGTGATTATTTCCTGTAACTGTAACTTCCTCATCATCCTATCAAAGACGTTTAACTTTTTCTCCACAAACCAATGGCATTTCTTAAAATGGGTCAACTTGGCCGCCAGAGGGATTTTGTTAATCTTCAAAGTCAAGGTGTACTTTTGTTCCACTTGGTCTGTCACAAGTACCAATATTTTGCATGATGCATCCTTTTTTAGGCTACTAGCTACTAACGTTAGACAAAATTTGAAGAATTTTTTTCGCATATGTTGCTTATCCGTTTCACACACATCCATGTGCTTTTACGGAAAAAGATAAAGGACGTCTATACAATATGTACATTTCTCGTACATAGTTTAAAAAAAGTCGAAGAGCCTTGTGACCTTGTCAAATAGCTGTCATTTACCACGATTAACATCGCTGCCAGGTGGCTTACAGCACTTAAAGAGCGACTGCACTTCCTGATTTGGGCTCGTTTTATACTGAACAAAAATATAAACGCAACAATTTCAACTATTTTACTGAGTTACAATTTATATAAGGAAATCAGTCAATTGAAATAAATTCATTAGGCCATAATCTATGGATTTCATGACTGGGCAGGGGGAGCCAGGCCCAGCCAATCAGATTTAGTTAGTTAGTTTAGTTTTTCCCCCCAAAATAGCTTTATTACTGACAGAAATACTCCTCAGCATCCCCCCCCGGACGATCCCGCAGGTGAAGAAGCCGGACATGGAGGTCCTGGGCTGGCGTGTTTACATGTGGTCTGCAGAGGTGAGGCCGGTTGGATGTCCTGCCAAATTCTCTAAAACGACGTTGGAGGCGGCTTATGGTAGAGAAATGAACATGTAATACCCATTCCTGCAGTCAGCATGCCAATTGCACGCTCCCTAAAAACTTGAGACATCTGTGGCATTGTGTAACAAAACTGCACATTTTAAAGTGGCCTTTTATTGTCCCCCGCACAAGGTGCACCTGTGTAATGATCATGCTGTTTAATCAGCTTCTTGATATGCCACACCTGTCAGGTGGTGGATAGATTATCTTGGCAAAGGAGAAATGCTCGCTCACAGTGATGTAAACAAATGTGTGCACAATTTGAAAGAATTAAGCTTTTTGTGCGTGTGGAACATTTCTGGAATCTTTTATTTCAGCTCATGAAACATGAGACCAACACTTTACATGTTGCGTTTATATTTTTGTTCAGTATAGATTTGGTTCATTTAAGAAATGCTAGCAGCTATGACTGAATTTAAACGTTAGTTGGTTTCGGTGTGTGGTTTGATGTGGGTGTCGCGTGTGTGTGTGTTCGCAGGTGGGAAGAGTTAGCCAAATTATTTTGCCAATTACCTTCAGCCTGCTAGTGAGCAACCGTGGCAAAATTGGTTTGACTTTGGATCTCCTGGGCTAGTTGGGGACCGTCAATAAGTTACACAATGTAAATGAGACAATATTTTCATGTTGCACACCTTTTTAGTTTTCTCATTAAATGCTTTCAATATTTCTATATAAATTTATAAATTGTATAGTTGGTTTAAGGTTAATTCAATGTGTAGCTATTGGAATTTTAACATATTGTACGTTGTAATTTACCGATTGTCCCTAACTAGACCCATAGGGATAACCAAAGTATACCCGAATTTACCACAAATATTATGATCGGGTCGTGTGTAGCTGCACTCTGAATTGTGATGTCGGCATGTGGGCAGGATTGAAACCAACCCAACTTTCATTTACATTGTGACGCAGTCACGACCACAACTCTCACAAAACTCAGTTTTGGATGAGACTCACTCTGACAAAATATTTTATTTACAAATTTTTTGGAGGGTAGTTTTTACTCCTTTTTCTCCCCAATTTTGTGACATCCAATTGGTAGTTACAGTCTTGTCCCATCGCTGCAAATCCCGTACGAACTCGGTAAAGGCGAAGGTCAAGAGTCCTCCGAAACACGACCATGCCAAGCCGCGCTGCTTCTTGACACACTGCTCGCTTAACCCGGAAGCCAGCCGCACCAATATGTCGGAGGAAACACCGTACAACTGGCGACCTAAAAAGCGTGCATGCGCCCGGCCCGCCACAAGGAGTCGCTAGAGCGTGATGGGACAAGGACATCCCAGCCCGCCAAACGCTCCCCTAACCCGGACGACGCTGGGCCAATTGTGCGCCGCCTCATGGGTCTCCCAGTCGCGTCCGGCTGCGACACAGCCCGGGATCGAACCCGGGTCTGTAGTGACGCCTCTAGCACGGTGATGCAGTGCCTTAGACCGCTGCGCCACTCGGGAGGCCACATTGTAGTACATTTTGACAGTAGAATAAATGTTTCTGACTCATATCGATGCCACATAGGCGGTTTTCTTAATGAGAAGTTGGTATTTAGGGGCAAATGCTTTTTAACCCTGAATCTCTGTAATACAGGAATCATGGGTTCGAGTCCCCCTCAATGAAAAAACTGCTGGTCCTCGATTCAAATAAGGCATATGGATTAAGTGGATGATTATACATTGCCTTCGGAATGTATTCAGACCCCTTGACTTTTTCCACATTTTGTTACGTTACAGCCCTATTCTAAAATTGATTAAATAAATAAATAAATCCTCAGCAATCTACACACAATACCCCATAAAGACGAAGTGTAAACAGGTTTTTAGACATTTTTGAAAAAGTATTAACTAAAAAACGGACAACTTTTATTTACATAAGTATTCAGACCCTTTGCTATGAGTTTCGAAATTGAGCTCAGGTGCATCCTGTTTCTAGTGATCATCCTTGAGATGTTTCTACAACTTGATTGGAGTCCACCTGTTGTAAATGCAATTGCTTGGACATGATTTGGAAAGGCACACACCTGTCTATATAAGGTCCCACAGTTGACAGTGCATGGCAGAGCAAAAACCAAGCCATGAGGTCGAAGGAATTGTCCGTAGAGCTCAGAGACAGGATGGTGTGGAGGCACAGATCTGGGCAAGGTTACCAAAAAAAATCTGCAGCATTGAAGGTCCCCAAGAACACTGTGGCCTCCATCGTTCTTAAATGGAAGAAGTTTGGAACCACCAAGAGCTGGCCGCCCGGCCAAACAGAGCAATCGGGAGAGAAGGGCCTTGGTCAGGGAGGTGACCAAGAACCCGATGGTCACTCTGACAGAGCTCTAGAGTTCCTCTGTGGAGATGGGAGAACCTTCCAGAAGGACAACCATCTCTGCAGCACCACCAATCAGGCCTTTATGGTAGAGTGGCCAGACGGAAGCCACTCCTCAGTTAAAGGCACAAGACAGCCTGCTTGGAGTTTGCCAAAAGGCACCTGAAGACTCTCAGACCATGAGAAACAAGATTCTCTGGTCTGATGAAACCAAGATTGAACTCTTTGGCCTGAATGCCAAGCGTCACGTCTGGAAGAAACCTGGCACCATTGCTACGGTGAAGCATGGTGGGGGCAGCATCATGCTGTGGGGATGTTTTTCAGTGGCAGGGACTGGGAGACTAGTCAGGATCGATGGAAAGATGAACAGAGCAAAGTACAGAGAGATCCTTGATGAAAGCCTGCTCCAGAGTGCTCAGGACCGCATACCGGGGCGAAGGTTCACCTTCTAACAGGACAACGACCCTAAGCACACAGCCAAGACAACGCAGGAGTGGCTTCGGGACAAGTCTCTGAATATCCTTGAGTGGCCCAGCCAGAGCCCGGACTTGAACCTGATCGAACATCTCTGGAGAGACCTAAAAATAGCTGTGCAGCAACGCTCCACATCCAACTTGACTGAGCTTGAGTGGATCTGCAAAGAAGAATGGGAGAAACTCCCCAAATACAGGTGTGCCAAGCTTGTAGCGTCATACCCAAGGAGACTTGAGGCTGTAATCACTGCCAAAGGTGCTTCAACAAAGTACTGAGTAACGGCTCTGAGTATTATTGTTATTATAATGCTAGCACAGTTGGGGAATGGGAGTTCAAAGGAGTGAAAACTAGCACTTCAGAATTGACTAAATCGGTCTGGTAAACATCTGAGGGACCGGTCAGCATCTTCCCAGTGACCGGTGCCGGTCACAGACCAGAGGTTGAGAAATACTGGTCTACGTGGAGGAAAACTGCTAGATAAGCAATAAACAGCCCACTGCTAAAATAAGGCTGAGGGAGAGAGTGGGAGCGTAATGCTATTTATATCTATCTCTGTTTGCATGGCCTGAAGGAGATGTACACCTACCTGGCGCAGGAGCTGAAAAGGCTTGCTGAGGCTCATGGGGAGAGACTACTGCACACCCCACACAACCCCATATCACTGGGTAAGATACACCCTCACACAACCCTATCACTAGGTAAGATACAGCGCACACAACTCCATAGCAGTGGGTAAGATGCCTCTTACACAACCCTTATCACAGCTCCATATACACCCTCGTATACAACTCCTTATATCTGGATTAGCCCTAAATTACTGGATCTGAGGTATGACAATTCTTAAGTCAGAGTAAAGTTGCTTTCCCATTACACAATATTCACCTGAAATGTCATGTTTGTACGATATTCTTAGTTTGGGGCATCCTATGGGAATATTGGAGCAAAATTTGAGTAGTGTGAAAGTTTCTACGAATGCTGTCTAAGTCCCATGTTTGTACGGGCTCCCAAGCGAAATCTAAACATGCTTGATTGACCCCAACGCAAATACCATAAATGTTCTACATTACAACAAGGTAATGTTTTTCAAAATGTGTGTTTAGTAGCTATTTTCTCTCCATAGTCAGTCCTTGTAAGATTACGACTAATCTTTAACTCTAGTAAAGTTAAAACAAGCTAGAGTATGCATGTCACAGCACTTTTCTGCTCGACGCATGCTGACATTTTATTGTAAACGGTACGCTCATAGATCTTCGGGTGAACATTGCTTCTATGTCTGTACATTTCCTGTGAATGCCAATGTTGTGATGACCTTCTGTTTGTGCATGTTTTCATGTAGCCATGTCTCTGGATGGCCTCCAGACACAGAGTGGCAAGTCTGTGACTCAACTGGGCTCCATGCTGTTCACCAGGCAGGTGTCTGGGGCCAGGTAATCATCACCGTTGGCCGGAGGCCAGAGTCTGCTTTGAGAAAGGGGAAGGTAGAAAGATGGGGATGAGAGGCTGCATCTCAATAGCTTGTACTTGACACCCAATCCCAAATGAACCCCTATCCCCTACCCAGAAACAAATCCAGGTGTAGTTATGTTCTATGTCGTATTTAACCTTTATTTACACAGGGAGTCAACATTGACACACAGGTCTCTTTTTCAAGTGAGCCCTTTAGGATTTTTTGTTGTTGATTTTTTAAAAACTTTTATTTAGACAGGGTCTCATTCTCAAGGGAGCCCTGTTAACACAAACATACAATTCAATACAACATAAAGCAAAAAAACATAAATACAACAAGATTAATCAAAACAACTAGCACATTATTGCCCTCAAAATAGATCTATACTGTCTAATGGAGACCATCGAGTCCAGCTTCAAGTTGGCCTGAAGGCGATTCCACGAGCTGGGGGCATAAAAGCAATATTCCCCAGCTCAGTGGAGACCTGCGGGACTTCCAGAACCAGCCAGTCAGGTCTGGAAATTTCTGGATCTCCAATTTAGTATGTGAGCTGAGGTATTAGAGGAGTCTCTGAAGAACCGCTTTGTATACAAAAAGTAGACAGTGCTGGGCCCTTCTGGTAGTCAGAGACTCCCAGCCAACAGAACTATACAAAATGCAGTGATGTGTAAGAAAATTGTCCCCAGTGATAAAACGAGTGATAGACTGAGTCTAAAGGTTTTAAAACGGAGGCTGCCGCATGCATGTAGATTATATCACCATAAAAGTACTGGGAGAAGCATTGCTTGAACAATCTTCCTTCTACTTTCCAAAGTGAGGCAGGATTTATTTATATAAAAGAAACCAATCTTAATTCTCCTGGTTTTTTTGTCAATTTTTCAATGTGGTTTTAAAAGAGAATTTATCGTAAATCCAAATACCCAAGTACTTATAATGGAGAACTTCCTCAATTTGGGCTCCCTTTAATGTGCAAATACACAAGTCCTCAGGGTCAATATTACAACACCTAGAGAACAACATAAATGTGGTTTTATTAGGATTTAGCACTAGTTTAAGATTAGTAAGCGATTTTTTTAATTGAGTCAAAACCATGATGATGGTCATGAATGGCCTGCTGTACTGAGTGGGCACTGGAGTAAATAACTATCATCCGCGTAGAGATTAATGTTACAGGTTTTAACAGATATTAACCAATATTATTTAAATAAATAACGAAGAGAACAGGTCCCAAAATCGACCCCTGTGGCACACCTTTCATAATATTGAGGAAACTGCATTTGATACCGTCAGTAAACACACATTGTGTCCTGTCCATTAGATAGTTTTTTAACCAATTGCAAGATGCCTGATCTAGGCCTATTTCAGACAACCTTTGAACAAGTATGAAATGGTCAACTGTATCAAACACCTTTGACAGGTCAATAAATAATGCTGCACAATGATTTTTATGGTCTAAACAATATAGCACATCATCCAAGACAAGTGTAGCCGCTGAAACAGTGCTATGTCCAAGTCTAAAACCAGATTGGTGCTCATTAAGAATGGAATGAGAAGGTAAAGTTGTAAGCTGAGAGTTGGCAAGGCAAGATAGCGAGGGAAATTGGACGGTAGTTATCCAAGTCAAAAGGATCTTTGTCTTTTTGTAGGGCGAGGACTTGTGCCGTTTTCCAGATCTTGTCAAGTTAAAAATACAACATACAAAATGCATATAAATAACAAGTACTAGTAGATAGATCAGTCCAAATAAAACTCAAGACAACAGCCATATTTGTAAATTAATACCCCCCAAAAATACAATCCTCAACAAGTCTCTTACTAATGTATTGAAGTGACCAAATGACACTTGGGAGACTGATTTTAGGGTATTTTTTAAAATACATTCCAGTAATGGGCGCGTAAAAACTAACAGCTTGTTTACCTAGGTCAGTAGGGACAAAAGGGATTTCAAGAATTAGCCATTCATTGGAGTAGGTGAGGTATTTCTTACTTCTGTATGTCATGAGCGATGTGAGGTAGTAAGGTAGTTTCTGTAGGAGAGCTTTGTAAATTAACCGAAGGCAATGATCCATTCTCTGTGTTGCCAGGGACAGCCAGCCACTTTGTGATACAGATCACAATGACGCGTGCAAAAATCGGTTACCCATAATGAAGCAGAGGGCACTATGATCAACTGCATCCAGTGGTTTGAAAGTAGTGTCAGCTGCATTCATATACAGTGGGGAGAACAAGTATTTGATACACTGCCGATTTTGCAGGTTTTCCTACTTACAAAGCATGTAGAGGTCTGTAATTTTTATCATAGGTACACTTCAACTCTGAGAGACGGAATCTAAAACAAAAATCCAGAAAATCACATTTTATGATTTTTAAGTAATTAATATGCTTTTATTGCATGACATAAGTATTTGATACATCAGAAAAGCAGAACTTAATATTTGGTACAGAAACCTTTGTTTGCAATTACAGAGATCATACGTTTCCTGTAGGTCTTGACCAGGTTTGCACACACTGCAGCAGGGATTTTGGCCCACTCCTCCATACAGACCTTCTCCAGATCCTTCAGGTTTCGGGGCTGTCGCTGGGCAATACGGACTTTCAGCTCCCTCCAAAGATTTTCTATTGGGTTCAGGTCTGGAGACTGGCTAGGCCACTCCAGGACCTTGAGATACTTCTTACGGAGCCACTCCTTAGTTGCCCTGGCTGTGTGTTTCGGGTCGTTGTCATGCTGGAAGACCCAGCCACGACCCATCTTCATTGCTCTTACTGAGGGAAGGAGGTTGTTGGCCAAGATCTCGCGATACATGGCCCCATCCATCCTCCCCTCAATACGGTGCAGTCGTCCTGTCCCCTTTGCAGAAAAGCATCCCCAAAGAATGATGTTTCCACCTCCATGCTTCACGGTTGGGATAGTGTTCTTGGGGTTATACTCATCCTTCTTCTTCCTCCAAACACGGCGACTGGAGTGTTGACCAAAAAGCTCTATTTTTGTCTCATCAGACCACATGACCTTCTCCCATTCCCCCTCTGGATCATCCAGATGGTCATTGGCAAACTTCAGACGGGCCTGGACATGCGCTGGCTTGAGCAGGGGGACCTTGCGTGCGCTGCAGGATTTTAATCCATGACGGCGTAGTGTGTTACTAATGGTTTTCTTTGAGACTGTGGTCCCAGCTCTCTTCAGGTCATTGACCAGGTCCTGCCGTGTAGTTCTGGGCTGATCCCTCACCTTCCTCATGATCATTGATGCCCCACGAGGTGAGATCTGGCATGGAGCCCCAGACTGAGGGTGATTGACCGTCATCTTGAACTTCTTCCATTTTCTAATAATTGCGCCAACAGTTGTTGCCTTCTCACCAAGCTGCTTGCCTATTGTCCTGTAGCCCATCCCAGCCTTGTGCAGGTCTACAATTTTATCCCTGATGTCCTTACACAGCTCTCTGGTCTTGGCCATTGTGGAGAGGTTGGAGTCTGTTTGATTGAGTGTGTGGACAGGTGTCTTTTATACAGGTAACGAGTTCAAACAGGTACAGTTAATACAGGTAATGAGTGGAGAACAGGAGGGCTTCTTAAAGAAAAACTAACAGGTCTGTGAGAGCCGGAATTCTTACTGGTTGGTAGGTGATCAAATACTTATGTCATGCAATAAAATGCAAATTAATTACTTAAAAATCATACAATGTCATACATGTCTACATGCTTTGTAAGTAGGAAAACCTGCAAAATCGGCAGTGTATCAAATACTTGTTCTCCACACTGTAGATTATAGTCAATGGCTGACAGGAAAGTCGACTTAACTATGTTCTTCCTACTATCAAGTGTAAAGCACTTATTTCTGTAAAAGAATCCCAATTTATTTCAGTTTCCTCATTTGTTCATCTACATGAGTTTTAATTTGGGTTCAATTTGGGCTCCATTCAACAAGCAAATGTAAATCTGTGAAGCCAATGTTGTGGGCCCTAGAAAATAGCATATTTAGTTTTATCCTCATTCAGTACCAGTTCAAGGTCAATAAGTGTGTTTTATAAGACATTAAAGCAGTCTGTAGATCAGGTTTACAGAGGGGACAGAAGAGTGAGGCACAGTGTCATCAGCATAAAAGTGTTGGTTACAGTTCTTCGTTAAGGAACCAGTATCGGTAATATACAACGTGAACAAAACTGGCCCTAAAATGGACCCCTGAGGAACACCTTTTGTGGTCTCTAGGAATTGTAAAGATTAAAATGTTATTAGTCGTATGTATGGAATGCACATGGTATACATCGTCCAACAAAATACTTACTTTCAGGTTCCTTCTCGACAATAAAACAACAATAAGAAATAATGAAATATAAGAATACTAACATAAAGTAAATGGCAGCAACTATACATTAAGATCTGTCCATAAGGTAGTTATTGTACCATGCACATGCATTTCGATCAAGTCCACTAGAGGACAATCTACGCAGTAACAATGATCGATCCACAATACAATGCTGTTTTTTAAATCTAGAGAGCATACAATATCAGTAACAACAAAGAATGCAGCTGAGATGAAAAAAATAATAATGTCCCCGTCAAAATCCTGATTGATATGTATTTAGGATACAGTTCCTGGATAAGGAGGAACGAAGTTGAGAGTTTATCAAGAGTACATTCAATTGCAACTTTTTATGCATTTAATTTTTTCTTCTTCTTCTGTTCCCACCTAATCGTTTGTGATGTAGCAAGGAAGGCAAAAGGAAGGTGTAAATATTTTTTTACATCCTCCTAAATTATGAATTATGTCTTTCAGCTATGATGTTTTTTTTCTTCCAAGTGTCAAAGCACCTTCTCCTATTACCACAGGGTTACCCCCTAATTTCCTGGAAGTGAACACATTCATTTTCAATGTTTCAAATAAATGAATCTGTCATACAATAATTGTATTGCCTAGTACAGCAGCAGATATTAATTAGCTTTGTATTACTCCCTGTTCGTTCAAACAGGAAGCAATTTTGTAGTATGGGATCACTTTGCTTTCCCTTTCTCTTTTGTGGGTGTTTCTTCCAAGCAGCATGTTAAACTTGCTTGTTTCAAGACAATTGCTGTGTGTGGAAGGTGTGGTAATGGTAATGTCTGTTTTCAGGGTGGTTGCCCTTGGTAACGAACAGATGGTGAGCGGTCACAAGTTCTGTGGCTTCATGTCCCACTCGGCGGCGTACCCACACCCCTATCTCAACGCCGCCTCGGCTGTTGGCATCACACGGGATGACGTGACACTGTGTATCAAAAGACTGGATAAGTGCCTGAAGAGCCTCAGTAAGGAAAGCAGTGCAAGAAGTGGTTCACCATTGCCTGTCACAGGCCAGGAGGACCATGCTGGAGAGTGAAGAAAAAGATGTAGGGAAAAAATTTACTTTTTCAGACAGTAAAATGTTATTTTAACACTGATACATTGCCTAGTGAAAATCTTCAAACCCCTTGCTTGCACAGTTGTCACATTTTGCTGCCTTAAATTTAAATCTAAAAAAGGATTACAATTACAGAAATATTCTCAAATTATTGAAAAACGAAGATGTATTAGTTACATATGTCTTCAGACCCCTTGCTGTGGCACATCTAAGTAAGTTCAGGAGCAAATAAATGTGACAACTGTGGTATGAAGACACTGTATATATGAGCTCAAATTATTGCCTCCCTGAAATGGAGCTGGTTTGTTTTCAGTATTCCTAGGGTCCTATGAAATGATTGTGGTCCATGGAAGTATAGGTCTTCTAAAATGTCACCATTATTAAAACATGACAATACTACATTCCAGTGGCACTGTGGAAAACAAGTTATTCTGTGTGATATATGCTATGTGCTTGTACAGATTTACACTGATAATTAATCCAATGTCTGTATGAATTGGCAGCATTCATTGAAGATACCACTGATCATAATGACATTGAGGCTATAGTGTGGTCTGCATACAGTACCTTCAGAAAATACTCACACCCCTTGACCTTTTCCACATTTTCTTGTCTTGCAGCCTGAATAAAAAATGGATTCAATTGAGATTGTTTGTCACTGGTCTACACACAATACCCCATAACGTCAAAGTGGAATTATGTTTTTAGACATTTTTACAAATTAATTAAAATTGAAAAGCTTGAGTCAATAAGTATTTAACCCCTTTATGACGTGCCTAAATAAGTTCAGAAGTAGAAATGTGCTTAACAAGTCTCGTAAGTTGCATGGACTCACACTGCAATAATAGTGTTTAACATGATTTTTGAATGACTACCTCAGCTCTGTAACCCACACACTTATCTCTAAGGTTCCTCAGTCGAGCAGTGAATTTAAAACAAAGATTCAACCACAAAGACCAGTGAGGTTTTCCAATGCCTGGCAAAGAAGGGCACCAATTGGTGAATGTTTTGTTTTTTTAAAAGCAGATATTGTATATCCCTTTGAGCATGGTGAATTTATTAATTAAACTTTGGATGGGGAAAATACACCCATTCACTACAAAGATACAGGCGTCCTTCCTAACTCAGTTGCCTGAGAGGAAAGAAACTGGCTCAGGGATTTCAACATGAGGCCAATGGTGACTTTAAAACAGTTACAGAGTTTAATGGCTGTGATAGGAGTAAACTGAGTATGGATCAACAACATTGTAGTTACTCCACAATACTAAACTAATTGACATAGTGAAAAGAAGGAAGCCTGTACAGAATACAAAATGTCCAAAACATGCATCCTGTTTGCAACAAGGCACTAAATTAATACTGCAAAAAAATGTGGCAAAGCAATTAACTTTTTGTCCTGAATACAAAGGGTTATGTTTGGGGCAAATCCAATACAACACATTACTGAGTACCACTCTCCATATTTTCAAGCATAGTGGTGGATGCATCATGTTATGGGTATGCTTGTAATCTTTAAGGACTGGGGAGTTTTTCAGGATTAAAAAGATACAGAATGGAGCTAAATCAGGCAAAATCCTAGAATAAAACCTGGTTCAGTCTGCTTTTCACCAGACACTGGGAGATTAATTCACCTTTCAGCAGAACAATAACCTAAATCACAAGGCCAAATCTACACTGGAGCTGCTTACCAAGAAGACAGTGACGTTTTGACTTAAATCTGCTTGAAAATCTATGGCAAGACATGACAATGGTTGTCTAGCAATGATCAACAACCAATTTGACAGAGCTTGAATACTTTTTTTGAATAATGGGCTAATATTGTACTATCCAGGTGTGCAAAGCTCTTACCCAGAAAGACAGCTGTATTCGCTGCCAAAGGTGATTCTAACATGTATCGACTCAGGGGTGTGAATGCTTACACTAAATGACCGAAAGTATGTGGATAGCTGCTTGTTGAACATCTCATTCCAAAATCATGGGCATTAATATGGAGTTGGTCCCCCCTTTGCTGCTATAACAGCCTAACTCTTCTGGGATGGCTTTCCACTAGATGTTGGAACATTGCTGTAGGGACTTGCTTCCATTCAGCCACAAGAGCATTAGTGAGGTCGGGCACTGATGTTGGGCGATTAGGCCTGGCTCGCAGTCGGCATTACCATTCATCCCATATGTTTTTGATGGGGTTGAGGTCAGGGCTCTGTGCAGGCCAGTCAAGTTCTTCCAAACCGATCTCGACAAACCATTTCTGTATGGACCTCGCTTTGTGCACAGGGGCATTATCATGCTGAAGCAGAAAAGGGCCTTCCCCAAACTGTTGCCATTAAGTTGGAAGCACAGAATTATCTAGAATGTTATTGTATGCTGTAAGGTTAAGATTTCCCTTCACTAGAACTAAGGGGCCTAGCCCGAACCATGAAAAACAGCCCCAGACCATTATTCCTCATCCACCAAACTTTACAGTTGGTACTTGCATTAGGGCAGGTAGCTTTCCCCTGGCACCCGCTAAACCCAGATTTGTCCATCGGACTGACAGATGGTGAAGCGTGATTCATCCCTCCAGAGAACGCATTTCCACTGCTCCAGAGTCCAGTGGCGGCAAGCTTTATACCACTCCAGCTGACGCTTGGCATTGCGTATGGTGATGATTGGCATTGCGTTAGGCTTGTGTGCGGCTGCTCGGCCATGGAAACCCGACGAACAGTTCTTGTGCTAACGTTGCTTCCAGATGCAGTTTGAAACCCGGTAGTGAGTGTTGCAACCGAGGACAGATGATTTTTACGCGCTACACACTTCAGCACTCGGCGGTCCCGTTCTGTGAGCTTGTGTGGCCTACCACTTCGCGGCTGAGCCGTTGTTACTCCTAGACGTTTCCACTTCACAATAACAGCACTTACAGTTTACCGGGGCAGCTCTAGCGGGGCAGAAATTTGACGAACTTCTTCCATTTAAGAATAATGGAGGCCACTGTGTTCTTGGGGACCTTCAATGCTGCAGACATTTTTTGGTACCCTTCCCAAGATCTATGCATCGACACAATCCTGTCTCGGAGCTCTATGGACAATTCCTTCGACCTCATGGCTTGGTTTTTGCTCTGACATGAACTGTCAACTGTGGGACCTTATATAGACAGTTGTGAGCCCTTCCAAATCATGTCCAATCAATTGGATTTACGACAGGTGGACTCCAATGAAGTTGTAGAAACATCTGAAGGATGATCAATGGAAACAGGATGCACCTGAGCTCAATTTCGAGTCTCATGGCAAAGGGTCTGAATACTTATGTAAATAAGGTATTTCTGTTATATATATATATATATATATATATATATATATATATATATATACATACATACACTACCGTTCAAACGTTTGTGGTCACTTAGAAATGTCCTTGTTTTCAAAAGAAAAGCAATTTTTTGGTCCATTAAAATAACATCAAATTGATCAGAAATACAGTGCAGACATTGTTAATGTTGTAAATGGCTATTGTAGCTGGAAACGGCTGATTTCTTTTATGGAATATCTACATAGGCTTACAGAGGCCCATTATCAGCAACCATCAGTCCTGTGTTCCAATGGCATGTTGTGTTTGCTAATCCAAGTTCATCATTTTAAAAGGCTAATTGATCATTAGAAAACCCTTTTGCAATTATGTTAGCACAGCTGAAAACTGTTTTGCTGATTAAAGAAGCAATAAAACTGGCCTTCTTGAGACTAGTTGAGTATCTGGAGCATCAGCAATTGTGGGTTCGATTACAGGCTCAAAATGGCCAAAAACAAATAACTATTGTTCTGAGAAATGAAGGCTATTCTATGTGAGAAATTGCCAAGAAACTGAAGATCTCGCAAAAATAGAAAAGATCTTGCTACCATGGAAAGGAAACTTACTTGTCTATTTGTGGAAAAATCACCCTGATTAACTCTTTAGTCATATTCCAGTTTGCCTATTTGCTTATGGCCTTGCCTACACCTAGGGACTTGTTTTTTTTAATTATATGAGCAAAAAATATCCCTTTTTATTTGGAAAGGCAAGCCAGACAAAATTAAATGGGCCTATTTATATAATGAATATGAATTCGGAGGGCAGAAATTATTAAATATTAAAGCATTAGACCTCTCACTAAATGCTTCAGTCATTCAAAGTTATCCACTCTACCTGCATGCAGCCACTGAATAAAGATGCCCAAAATGAGACATTAATGTGGCCTTCTAGCGTTAAACTCTGTACATCATTCTGCACAGTGAAAGTCAAACATTCAACTGTAGAACAAGAAGAAAAATGTTTTTTAAGTGGAGAACAGTTGATTTGAAAAAACAGAATATTACAGAAAGATCACTTGGACGCATCTCCAAACAGTCTCTCCCTTTCTGCAGAGACATGGCTCAGTTCTGCAGTTGCTGTTCCACATACTTCTATGCAGACACTTCAATCTGTACAGAGTGCTTGTTCAGAGCCTGTGGTTCTGGTATTAGGCAAAGTACCTGCCAGTCATGGTACCAACAGATGTCGTCCCGAAGACTTGGCCATTTGAACTTGTTTATGCCATGGCGTTGCATACACTTAACTTTCACACTGTGCCCTTCTGCATCCATGATGATACCTGGGTATGCTTCATTGTCATAATTAACGACGCACCACTCTCCAATGTGCTTTACCTCAATCATTTCTGGTCTCCTAGGATTATCTGGTGTCTTATGCTGGGGACTTGTCAGATGAAACAGGAACATTAGCTAGAGTGACCTCTTGAAGGTTAAAGCAGGGGCAGTCCAAAACACCTTCCTCCCTTTTACACAGACATGAAATGTTTCTGGCTCTGGCTTGACTTTTTGCCTCTCTCCATTTCTTTCTTTTTGCCCTCTTCTCTCTCTCACTGAGCTCATTGACACCCTTCTTCTTTCCAGTCTCTCTGTCTTTTTTCCATTTGACCCTTTCTTTCTCAAGGTACTTTCTTCTTCTGTCTGGGTCAGCATCACGACGTTCCCGATATCTCCTTGCTATCTCAGCTCCTTTTGATCTCATTCCTTGAAAAAGACTATTCAAAATGTTCCCTTACACACTTTAATTGGCAGTCCCGGTAAACTAGGCTTGCATTATCAA